TGCTTTAATGATAGAATTGCAGAATAATTAAGTTCGAAGGGGTCTATAAGAGCATTGAGTTCAACCCCCTGCTCAGTTCAGCAATCCATATCAACATAAATTTGACAGATGTTTCCTGTTTTTTTCTTCCATGCAGCTTAATGATCACTTGGATCTTCTGGCACTGAAGTATTAAATAAAAGGCTTGAAAAGTATCTGGCTGAACTTTTCTCTGAAAACTGTTGTTAATGTTGAATCACTTCAAATTTCAGAGATAATGCTGCTTCATTTGAATGTCTCTTAAGTGATTTCCCCTTGTCCTCCTTATGAATAACATCATTCTGCTATTGTATCTTTCACTGTTCCTGTTTTTTTTTCTTGTCCTTGTTGTTATTCCTTCCTTGGAATAAATGTAATCAATTAATGTTTTTATTTTTAAAAAGCTTTTTGTGTATTTAGTACTACTGAGGTTAGAGGGGACAAAACAAGCTGGCCTTTTATCTGGGCTTTTTTATCATTTGTTCAGGTTTCGTTAGCTGCCATATTTAGAAAGTTGTGGTGGTCATAGTGATTGAGTAATTAGGCTAAAACTGAAGAGAGTCAGAATCTGAGGCTGTAATTTTCAGTAAGATACCTTTTATATTTTCTCTGGCATAGCTGCTGTGCATCACACATATCGGTTGTGTTGGTCCTGTCTTAGAACCTGGCCTTAGCCCTTGTTAAGTCGGTGAAACCTCCTTTTGAACCACTGGCTGCAATTTCTTTGGATCTATTGTCTGCCAAAGTAGCATTCTTGATAACCCTCCTGCAGAGCAGGAGAACACTGTGCAATAAATATTGGTACAAATTTCTTGCGCATGTGCCGTAGTTGAGGGGTGGGCTACCACCAAACCTCTCTCTGTCTAAAGGTTCCAGACCATGGGTCTTCAGGCACAGTTCCATGCATGTGAATTCACAAACTATTTAAAGAGCAAATGTTACAGACAGGGATACCGTTTCCCCCCATTTTCACACCAAGAATATTGTAACATGTACTACATGGTGTTCTTGATACAGTACTGTATAATTTTAGGAAGCTATACCTAGCACAAGGATAGTCTGGGCTATGTTTTGTAAGTCACATTAAAAGTCATCTTTAAATAGCTTTATTGGCTTCCTGTTTATGAGCTAAACTCAAGTCCTAAACAACTTGGAGCCAGAGTATCTGAGCATCCTCCCATGTAAGCTTGCAAGAGCTTGTGTTTTCCTTATCTGAAACTCTATTATGTAACATACCTCCTACACGCACGGTAGAATGGTAGCATGCAGATGGTAGAACTTCCTCCTTAGGAAGCAGGCTTGGTGCCTTCAGTATTGGCCTTTAGATGCCTGGCAAAAGTGGTGTTGTTTGATGGATCATTTACTAATTAAAACTGACTTTTATTTTAACTGGTTCTCTTGTTTTATTGTAATAAGTGCAATTTTTAAAAATCCTTTTTAATTTGTAAACTTTTAATGGCTTTGTTCTAAATGGTTTCAAACACTCAGCGAATGGATGTGTGGTTAAAAATACATGCAGAACAGGTGGGACTTATTCAGCAAAAGTCAAAATGAACATTCAAAATGTTGGTGTAAGACAAGGGTGCTGCTTAAATTATCAGATGCTTGTAGATACAGTGCTTAGCTAGTCTATAACAATGGAGTTTCCTTCAGGAGGAATGTGTTGAAGTTCAGAAATTCTGTTCAGATTTGACAATGTTTCTTATTGAAAGTTAGCAGTGTTTACCTCTGACAGTTACAGTGGGTGTCAAAAAGTTCTACATGGCATACTCTGTGTTTAAATGAGGCCTTAACTTTGTCTAAGAATCCACTGTACAGTACCATTTGATATGTGATGAAATACAGGGAGTGGTTGTTTAAGAAATGAATCAAAGTATCCACAGTGCATTTTTATAAACACATTCATGGGCTTAAAGGCCAGGGGCTTTTTCAGTCGCTGCCCACACTTCAAGTTTCATGGAGATTCTCTAGCTGGAATGTGGTACTGTACTAGTTGTGTGGGGATTATAAAGTCATCAGTTTGCTTAATTGAGTTGTATGAGTAAGCTCATAGAATTCTGAATAAGAATTCCTTAATGTAGTTTATTGAGCTAAAGTATTCAGTGAACACTAATTTCAACTCATGTAAGTTATATTTGTTCTGTTGGTTGCTGGCTTCAAAGTAGCAATCAAATTTACAGCACTCATTTGGTGACAGAAAACCACAGCTTCATATACCATCAGTCTTATAAGTCAATTTTTTTTACCATAAATGTGTTGTAAAACACAATTAGAATGCAAAAATCCTTACTAACAAAACAATTGTGTTACACTCCACGGATGCAGAAATAACTCCAGCCTTGCATAGAAATGTACTAACTAGTAATAGGTTGATCATGATCAGTCCTGCGTAGGCTGTCAGAAATTAGATCTGGTGTTTATTTATCTGATTTATTCGATTTATATACTGCCCTTTTAGTGGGAACACTACTCTGGATAGTTTACAAATTAAAACTCAGAACCCCACACAAGCCTAAATAACAGTCAATATGGTGATCCATAAATCAAGATCTAAAATTCATACAATGGGAAAAAGAAAGAACAAAAAAATTAAAATTAATATCAGTACCAATTGGAAAATAAGTTATAGAACACAGTGTTGTATAATTCTGTTTTCACTAGTTTCCTGTATATATAAGCAAGCATATGCTTGCAAATGGTTAGTTGTTCACAAATTTTTATGTTTGTTCATAAATTATTATCTCATCACAAATTTAAAATTAATGAGTCACTGATAATCAACAACTTGTTAAATATATTATTTGTAAGCTGATATTTAATGCTTTATATTTTTGTGAGCTTCCTCGGAGGACTATGTTTAAATTCTTGGACATTATCAACATTATATATTCCCTATACTTTTCAGGTTCTACAGTATTTTACAGCATCTTTAGTGTATGATATTGCTTAACATCTTTCTTTTTTTCTTACACAGGTTGTTGCCATAGTTATGGATATGTTTACAGATGTGGATATTTTCAAAGAAGAAGAAATTAAAGGTACTTAAAACAGCAAGATGATGATGATGATTCAGAAACACCAGGAACAGTCAATCAAATTTATAATAGAGTGGTCCTGACCTGGCCAGATAGGCGGGATATAAATGAAATAAATAAAGAAAGAAAGGAAAATATTGACTGGTATTATATAACAGATACAAGTTTTAGCCAAAAACCTAAGTATTTGTTAAATATCGGCACAGTATATATGCTGTCCATTACTACTACTACTACTACTACTACTACTACTACTACTACTACTACTACTACTACTACTACTACTACTACTACTACTACTACTACTACTACTACTACTACTACTACTACTACTACTACTACTACTACTACTACTACTACTACTACTACTACTACTACTACTACTACTACTACTACTACTACTACTACTACTACTACTACTACTACTACTACTACTACTACTACTACTACTACTACTACTACTACTACTACTACTACTACTACTACTACTACTACTACTACTACTACTACTACTACTACTACTACTACTACTACTACTACTACTACTACTACTACTACTACTACTACTACTACTACTACTACTACTACTACTACTACTACTACTACTACTACTACTACTACTACTACTACTACTACTACTACTACTACTACTACTACTACTACTACTACTACTACTACTACTACTACTACTACTACTACTACTACTACTACTACTACTACTACTACTACTACTACTACTACTACTACTACTACTACTACTACTACTACTACTACTACTACTACTACTACTACTACTACTACTACTACTACTACTACTACTACTACTACTACTACTACTACTACTACTACTACTACTACTACTACTACTACTACTACTACTACTACTACTACTACTACTACTACTACTACTACTACTACTACTACTACTACTACTACTACTACTACTACTACTACTACTACTACTACTACTACTACTACTACTACTACTACTACTACTACTACTACTACCATGTTTTCCCGAAAATAAGACAGGGTCTTATATTAATTTTTGCATTAATTTTTGCTCCAAAAAACACATTAGGGCTTATTTTCAGGGGATGTTTTATTTTACAGTCATGTCATCTTCTGGTTGATGCACAATGCTGTACAATGGTGGAAGGCAGGGTTTCACTTAACTAGGGCTTATTTTTGAGGTAGGGCTTATATTACGGAGCATCCTGAAAAATCATATTAGGGCTTATTTTCAGGCTAGGTCTTATTTTCAGAGAAACAGGGTGTTGTTGTTGTTAAATATTTTTGCATAATTACCAGTGCACTAATTTTGTCACTCTTATCATGTCTATTTCTTCAGTCTCTATTACTGTAATTTCCATCTTAATGTTGTTTATTTATCTGATTTATTTGATTTATATACTGCCCTTTTAGTGGGAACACTACTCTGGATAGTTTACAAATTAAAACTCAGAACCCCATACAAGCCTAAATAACAGTCAATATGGTGATCCATAAATCAAGATCTAAAATTCATACAATGGGAAAAAGAAAGAACAAAAAAATTAAAATTAATATCAGTACCAATTGGAAAAAAAGTTATAGTACACAGTGTTGTATAATTCTGTTTTCACTGGTTTCCTGTATATATAAGCAAGCATATGCTTGCAAATGGTTAGTTGTTCACAAATTTTTATGTTTGTTCATAAATTATTATCTCATCACAAATTTAAAATTAATGAGTCACTGATAATCAACAACTTTCATTTATTAAATATATTATTTGTAAGCTGATATTTAATGCTTTATATTTTTGTGAGCTTCCTCGGAGGACTATGTTTAAATTCTTGGACATTATCAACATTATATATTCCCTATACTTTTCAAGTTCTACAGTATTTTACAGCATCTTTAGTGTATGATATTGCTTAACATCTTTCTTTTTTTCTTACACAGGTTGTTGCCATAGTTATGGATATGTTTACAGATGTGGATATTTTCAAAGAAGTTGTAGAAGCATCTAAAAGAGGAATTTCAGTGTATCTTCTGCTAGACGAATCTAACTTCAATCACTTTTTTAAGATGACAGAAAAACAGGGCTGTCAGGTCCAAAGGCTCAGAGTAAGTAATCTGTTAAATGGGAGAGGAAACTGATTCATTTATATTTTATGTAACATTTTTATTATTGCTTTATTGTTTTTTATTTGATTGGTTGGTTGGTTGGTTGGTTGATTGATTGATTGAGTGATTGAGTGATTGATTGATTGATTGAGTGATTGAGTGATTGATTGATTGATTGATTGATTGATTGATTGATTGATTGATTGATATACCACCCATTTGACAGCTAGGGCCATTCTTGGCAACTTGACCTAATCAGAACACCATAATATGTATACTATCAAGTTTAACAATGTATAATAATTAATTGATAAATAGCTTATGAATTCATTTATCATTTCACATTCAGTAAATAAATAAATAATCAGATATGTAAACAACATGTCAACACTTTCTACAAAGACAATGATGGAATTTTAGTTCATTGTAAGTAGTAAAACAACACTGAACTACAGTATGTATATTGAGCAGTGAGACTGAGGAACACTTTCTACCAAGGGTACAAGTAGCTACCAAGCATTCAAATAGTCACTTACCTGTTGCCTCTAGAATATAAACAGTTTTTTTGCCATGACACAGATGAAGAAAGGAAACTTTACTAACAGTAAACAGTTCTGGGCATATTTACATGGAAGTATGTCGCACTGTGTCCTGTGCTTTTTATGCCATAGACATAGTTTCCTGCCATGACAGGTGCTTAAGATCATTTTGTATGGTTGCAGTCCTTTCTCAACTTAGATAGGAGTAAATTCCACTAAAATAAAGTTGATTTCCTACTGAATGAGCAATGAATAGGTTCAAAACTGTAGTCCTGTTCAATCTAAACAGATTTACGTGATGATTGTGAATACAAATACGTAAGATTGCACAGTTTTGTTTCATTTTGTTCCTTTTTGAGACACAGACACATTTGGAAATTGGACATAAATTAGGAGGGAGAAGGAATTTGACAGAATAGTAATGTATTGATGCTTTTCAGGCTTTTGCTACATTCCATGTCTTGGTTGATTAGAAATATAAATACAGTGGTGCCTTGACTTACGAACGTCCCTACTTACACCCATTTCGAGTTACGACGAGCTCCGGCCGCAAAATTTTGCTTCTACTTGAGACCAGAGCTTCGAGTTATGAACAGAAAAAGGCAGGGATAAAAGGTGGGAAATTCAAATTGCTAACTGTTGGTGGTGAAGAGGCTGCTTCTTTGTAGCTCTTTCGCCCCAGCAGTTAGAGAGTGTGTGATCAGAGGAGGCTGCCTGGTAAAGGTAAGGTGCTGTTTTCTGCTTTTTAAAAACTGTTCTGGGTCTTTTTGCAGTGTGGTTTTGGACTGGGGGGTTATGTTTCTGTGCTGTGATGGGTCTTGGGAGGTTTGTTTGTTTGTTTGGCTCCCCCCCCCATTTCCAAAGGGTCTTGGGGGTTTGGTTGCTTTTTGGAGTGTTTTTCCCCATTTCCGATGGGTCTTGGGGGTTTGGTTGCTTTTTGGGGTTTCCCCGCCCATTTCCGATGGGTCTTGCATGCGTCCCTTGATTTCTACTTTGTTTTCTTTGCATTTCCGACCTGCTCCCTTTGCTTTCTTTGCATTTCCGATGGGTCTTGCACACTTGGTTGTTTCCCTCCCTTCCAGCTGGAAGGGATTAATCATGTTTCCAATAGGCCTTGCAGTGACTTTTGTTTTGTTTTGTTTTGTTTTCTTCAGCCGGAACATATTAATTGCATTTCAGTGCATTCCAATGGGAAATGGTACTTCGACTTACGACCTTTTCGAGTTACGACTATCTTCCAGAACCAATTAAGTTCATAAGTCGAGGCACCACTGTAGATAAAAGATGTTTGACCTGTAGGCTATTGTGTAAGTTTATAAGCTAAAATGTGTTCTAGCTAAGTTGAAGAATTTCAGTTCAAACATTTTTGGCCTGCCCACCCTGTAGGTGTCTGGTCGCTTTGTAGGGTTGTGAGTAGAGGTGGGGGTATTCGTATACAAATATGTCCATATAGCTGAAGTTAATGAGGGTCCAGCCCCTGGAGCGGGACTGTCCACTCACATGTCCACCGCCACCGGCCCCACTCATCATTCCAATCGCTAACCAAGCGTTGTTCTCTTCCTGATTGGCTAGTCACTCCTGGCAGAGAGGGAGGACAAGTCTCCCTGCAAGGCTGCCAGATAGCTAGCCAAGCAGCACTCCGGAGTGATTGGAAGGAAACAGGGGCCACCACAGTGGATGGTCTGGCCCCAGGGGCTAGACCCTTGTTAACTCCAGCTGCATGGGGATATTCACATATGAATACCCCCATCTCTTGTTGTGACTTATTGTCACCCAACAATAGTTGCCACATGTATTGATTGTGAACTTCTGAGCACAAGATATTTGTTTGGCTGAAACAGAACGACTCTCAGTAGAAATTGTATTCTAGTTAAAATATTGCAGTCCATTTAAATCCCATTGATTTCATTGCATCTTACATTGATTCAAGAAAATGTGCTTAAGATTTAGGTTTTTATTTAAAATGGTTACCTGGCTGTAAATCATACATAATACAGTTACGCTTATTCTCCAGGAAGCATGCCTAGGATGACAACCTTCATGTCTTACAATTTTCCATGTCTTCTTATAACTGAGTAGTGTGTGATAGCCTACATATTCCAAACTAGATTATATAGATCCTGTGTTACGGAGCTTGAAAAGATAATAACTATAAATAACTACAAAATGTTCTTAAAGGAAGCACTCCAGTTTGTGCTGCATATTAAAGTTTATGACTTTTAATTCATCCTTGGGGAGCAGTTAAAGTAGATCATACCATATGATTTTCAATTTAGAGACAGATAGAAAGTAATTTGTATCCTGTCTTGGAGCACCTCTGCACTCTGCAGCAATCCATGAATACAGAGAGTGTTAGTCGAGAAAATCTACCAAGGTCTGGTGCTTTTAGAGCCTGTTACAAGATGAAACATGCATACTTAAGTGACATGGGGGAGGGGGAAGGGAGGGAGGGAGGAAATAGTGTAATCCTTATATGCCGGTGGTCCCCAACCTTGGGCCTCCAGATATTCTTGGACTCCAACTCCCAGAAATCCTGGCCAGCAAAGGTGGTGTAAAGGCGACTGGGAGTTGTATTACAAGACCATCTGGAGACCCAAGGTTGGGGACCACTGTTATATGCAATCCAAAGGCAGGAGTGAGAGTTACCCTATTATTAGAGAACTCTCCTGGTATGGATTGCAAAGTCTCTCCCAATTTTATTAGACAAAAACAAGAAAATAAACATAAAAACCAAAAGCATTGCGGGACCTAAAAGACTATTATATTTTAACACGTGATTTTGTGGATCAGCCCACTTCCTCAGGCATTAGAGTAAGACTAAATCTCAGCTCCGATTTTGAAACTTAGCCGAGGAATCTGGCATGTACATCTGGCCATTATTTTTTGAGACTTTTATGGTTTTTCTGCACTGTCCACAGCTCTGTGGTGCTCAGCATGAAAAAGACTTTTGTGGGTCAAAATCTAATTTATATTTCTAATTTTATAGAGTTTTAATAAAGCTGTTACACACCCTTGCCTTCTATAGTGACCAGTTCTCTAACTATGAGCCACTTCATAATTCGTACTCATGGGTGAGGCCCTGCTTGTTCCTTTCTTTCTGTAAAGTTAGAGCATCAGCTGGAAGTAGCAGATATACCCCCAAGGTTGTGAAATGACTTGGGACCCATTCTTATTTCATAGCCTTTGAAATGTGCAAAACTCATTTAATCCAAAATGAAAGTAGGGATGGCCATGATAGCTTATTCCAGAATATAGTTGGCCAATCTAGTTCTCCTTCATTGCTTCTCTTGTAGCTGCCTCTCTTTTATGGTTGTGGATCAAAGTAGGTTATTATTTTTCTATGAACCGTTCTAATGTGCTGAAACTGACTATTTTGTCAGTTATAATAAAAAATAACATGAGAAGAGTTGCACTGGAAGGATGAAAAAAATCAGGAAATTAGCAACTATAGGCTAGCATCACCATTGGATATGTTTGATAGATAGGAAAGTGATTGAGTTTTAAATATGCCACTTCAAATTCTTTGCCTTTCTTCAGTCTGCCAGGAGGAGCTACTGTTGTTGCTGTAAAGCAGCTTTATCCTGTCCATGACAGGTAGGCAAAAAGAGCTGCCACGTGTAATCACAGGCCAAAGGTTGCTGAACACCTAGGATTGTGTTTGTACTGGCAGAAACTGCGAAATGCATGCTTCTGTTTCCTTTGTGGACCTGGTCACATCATGTGCAAATGTCAGGGCTGGGTGTGAAGTTCTAGGTCTAGTAGGAGATTGGCATGAACCTTGGTTCAGAGGTTTGCGCCAGTTCTTTGGATCGGCAATACAGGTGCTGCACGTTCCCTTCCCCCACCCACCCTGGCCTGATCCTCCACTCACAGCCGACGTGCGCTGGTCTTCTCTTCGGGTGTTCAACCAGTCCCAGCAGGAGTGTGTGCTTCCCTCCTCTGCCTCCTTCAACAGCCACCCAATCAAACAAGGAGGCAGGGCAGGGCTGCCTTTGAGTGGGGACTGGGCAAATGCTTGAAAAGGAGGAGAAGAGCAGCACGCGCTGCCTGGTGAGTCGAGGATCCAGCCGGGAGTGGGTGGCCAAAGGAAATGCATAGCTCCTGTGGTGCTGGTCTAATGAACCAGCACAAACCTTCAAACCAAGGTTCGTGCCCATCTCTAGTAGATGCCCATACCTAGGCATCATCTGATCCATTCACTGCAGAAGACGCCGAGTACCAACTAAGTGAAGCTTCCAACCAGCAGGCGGAATTATTCTGCATAGTACACGATCTATCCGGAATTATTCACAGTGATTGGCCTCCTCCTGGTATCTACGGGGGTGAAAAAATATCATCATATTTCCCCCACTCTGGTGGCCTTACACTGGTTGCCCATTCAAATGACTTCAAGGTTGACTTCAAGGTATTAATGCTTATATATAAAGCCCTAAGGTTTAGGACCTCGATACCTGGAAGAGC